GTTGACTGTGTAATGTCATTAACTAGGTAAACGAAGGCTAGGAGAACTCCCAAGGGGAGGAACAAAGCAGTGGGCTTGCAACACTCCACATGTGAAAACCCAGAGGTGGGTGGGCTTGCAGGGAGAGGGAGGGATGGTGTCCAACCGGTGCTGGCGTCTCTGGACCTTGGATTCCTGGCGGGCAGGGGAGCTGAGGTAGGGGCATGGAGGAGGTGTTTTGGGGTTGCCAGGATTCTGTAGGTCAAGCTTTAGTAGGGGGGTATACACATGTGGGAAATCAGCCCACTAGACACGTGACTTCTGTGCTTGTAATTTGAAGCTAAACCTCCACGAAGACGAAGAGATGTCCTTAAACTTAGAGGAGCAGCCAGGCAGACGGGGTAGCTTTCAATCATTGGGCGTGTTTCTGCCTGTCTGGCACTGCCTTTCTTAACCCTTAGCTTCCATTTGGTGGCCAAGATGGCTCTTCCTGGTCCCCAACACACTTGCATTTTGGCTGGCAAGGATCTGGTACAGAGGAGTTGGGAGAGGCAAGGGAAGAAGTTCTGTGTCATCAAGGGCCTGGCCTGGAAGGTGCAAGGGATTCACACTAGCCCAGCCTAACCCAAGCTGCTGTGTCGCCAAACTAAAGCTCTACTATGAAGACAAAACACCAAGGTAGATAGTAAGGAACACAAACATACAGCAGAGGCTGCCACAGAGGGACAAGGAAGCTGCCCTGAGTGTCAACAGGGAAGAAGGGCTGGAGGGAGGGACAGTGCAAGTGACGAAAAAGAGAGCATAGGTGAGACATGGCCAGAAAAAGTCCCCAACTAAGTCCCAAGGGATGGGACAGTGTCCATCGGTGGTCCTGACTGTGGCTGAACCCAGAACCTTAGCCACAGGACAGGGGTGGGCAAAAGCATGGGCCATCCAGCCCAGAGGTGTGAACTCATGGAGAGAAGTCCACCCCTGCTTTCTATTCATTCACAGCAGAAGGGGAAAGGAGGACCAGGGCTGGACCAAGATCTCCTTGGTGGGTGGAAATCAGCATGGACAATACTGTCCCCGAGGGCCCTTCAAACGGGCCCACAGCACCAGTGGGCCAGGCCAAAACTTTCAAGGGTTGAGAGTGAGACAGAGAGGAGGCTGGAGACCACCAGCCTGAATTTCCTCACCCTTCCCCTGCAGAGATGAGAGCAGAGCTGGGTCCTAAAAGGGTGGGGGGGGGCCAAATAGACCCGCAGAGCAAAAAGCAAGGTAGGTCACCTCTCCCCCACCCCCCGCGAAGGGATGAACGCACGCACTCAGCAAAGGGCTGTGCGCCTCTTCATTTCCAGGTTTTTATTTGCTTGTTATAATTCTGATATTCTGTACATATATATATATACTTCTGTTTTTTGTAGAGGGCTTATTGACAGACCAAGCAAAGGCATACAGGGCTGTGACCGAGAAGGTGGGGGAAGCTGGCGTGCCTTTTTTTCTTTTTTTTTCTTGCCTGTTCTATTTTTCCTGGGATGGGATCATCAAAGCTAATTACTATAAAACCTAGAGACGGCCTAGAGACAGACATCTGCCTACACACTAGTGGTCTATGGGGAAAGGGCAGAGGGACAAGCTTTCAAAGTCACGATGTATTTACATTCCCAAGGTGGGGTCCAGGGAGGCCGCAGAAGGAGACCCTTGGAATGACAGGGTGGGATGGGGAAATGATGGGGGCGCCTAGGGAGCACGTGGTGGTGGTGGCGGGGAGAGGGCCCGGGGTGTGGTAGAGAAGGTGGTGGCCCGCCCTCACCCAGCAGTGACGCAGGCCACAGGGATGTCGAGTGGAAGGTACCAAAGGCAGCATGTGTGAGGTGCACCTGAAAGCCAGCCGTGGGGGCGCAGCAGGATGGAGGTGCAGTGTTCAAGGTGGGGCCTCTGAGCTCTCCAGATGGCCTCCCTGCCACCCATGGCCAACTTGCCCACTGCCAGCCTGGCTGGAGCCATGGTGGGGACACCGGCTTCTGTCCCAGCTCCAGTCAGGCTGGCCAGCGAGTGGCTAGGGGCTGGGGGCCACACAAGCAGGAGCACCATCCCTGGTCCAGGGAAGGCCCCCCATACTGTGTTGGGTCATGTCCCCCAAACCAGGGCCCCTACCTGCCCGGACAGCTGAGTGGAGCTTGGGTAGAGCGCTGGGGGCCTAAGGGAGGGGTGCAGCTGGGTTTTGGCAATAAACTGGGTAGTGGGTTTGAGAAGGAAGTTCGAGGCAGTAAGCACCTCTCCCCGGCCTCCAAATTCCAGCCCCACCAACCCAGGGCCAGAGAACAGAGCCCAGGGCATGATGAAAGGAGTTGGAGGCCCTGAATTCCAAGGTCAGGAACACTTTGGCCTAGAATGCTCCCAGACCTGGGCCTGGGCAGAGCCCTGCCTCCAGTGCCACCCTCCACTCTGCTACTCCAGGGTCACTGCAGGATTGATGGGGGAGGTGGCTCCAGAGCTGTCATTGCCCCCTGCTGTCTCCTTCTCCTTCTTGCCGCTGTACTGGCCAATGAAGGAGCCATCCTCATTGAACTGGACATCCACACTGCCCCCATAATCGGCCAGGCTGTCATCACTGCCCAGAGGCTTGATGTCCCCATTGAGGGATGGCTGGCTGCTGCCAAAGGCCTTCTCCTCGTTGTCACTGCAGGGACAAAGGGTTAAGAGGGCTGTGTCGGCTGCAGCATAAGCTGGGAGGCGCGGCTGGGACCCTGGCCACCTTGGTGGCTCTACAGCCACTCCGGTTTGATGACCCTGTGCCTGCTGGGTCCTGGGGCTGTGAGAACCAGGACAGGATGTGCCTGTGCTTCCCCTTAAGTTCCAACTCCCTGATGCCTGGGTATCGGTGTGGGTCACACCGAGGCTCAGCTTCCCCCAGAAACGAGGAGCTGCTGTGACTGCGCGAGGCCCGGGGCACACAGTCCTGGCCACCACAGGGCCCATTCAGCCCCCTGGGGTCCCCGGACCCCTCCTTACCTCTCCAGGGACCTGAAGTTGCCCGCAGCACAGAAGAGAGAGAGAAACAGGGTCAGACTGGAGAGGCCAGGTGCAGCAGCCCTGCCTAAGGCCCTGCTTGGGACCCTGCCTGGGGACAGGCCAGAGCCCGTTTGGGCAGCAGCTCACCTGTACTCGCCAAAGGTCTCGTCTTTCATCGGCCGCGCCTCGGAGTCGGCCTGGGTGTCCTCCTTGTCCTTCACTGTACATACAAGGGAGAGGGGCCTGCTTCCTCCTCGGTCCCAGCTTGCCCCTGACCTCCATGCCCTGGTCCCCAGGGATGGGGGCAGGGGCAGGGATATCCTCTCTGCTCCAAGCACCCCACTTCTGCCTTCACAATGCTACCCAGCACTCACAACCCTGTCAGGCTCATAGAAAGGACTGCGGGCAAGGTGGCCCGCTGCTTCCCACACTCTGCTGCCCTCACCTTGCGCCCAGCACCCCCGGGCCCTGATGGGGCCGCCTGGACCCGGGGCTTGGGGGTCACCTGAGTACTTGCCACCCTTGCTGCGCTTAATGAAGCAGAGGATGAGCAGGACAAGGAGCAGAAGGACGAGGGCACTGACAAAGCCGATGAACCAGCCCTCGGTGGCAAAGCTGGGCGGAGGCAGCCTCACCCGTCCTGGGGGCCAAGCAGACAGTCCCCTGACCCCACAGCCTGGCAGGCAGGAGCTCCACGGCTCAAGGTCTGTGGGGTGCACACAGGGACAGGGCGCTCCCCTCGGGCCTCACCGGTGCCGTTGGTCTTCACCTCCATCTGGCGCAGGACCACTCTCTCCTTGAGCAGGTGGATCTCGTAGTCCGTGTCCGGCTGCAGGTCCCACTGTGTGTAGGAACTCTGGTTGTAGCTGACGTACTGTGACGGGAGGAAGGCCCCCACCTTCTCCTCTGTCGGGGGTGGGGAGAGGATGGCCAAGGTGAGCAGGGGCCTCAGGCAGGTCCCCGCCCCACCCCACTGCCCCAATGGCCTCACCACCCCGGGCCTTGAACCGGATGTGGAACCCGAAGTTGCACTGGCCCTCCTTAGGGACCCAGGAGACGATGCTGTAGTTCTCGCCTGCCATGGCCGAGATATTGCCAAAATCTGGGACCCCTGAGGGCGGAAAGAAGGGGTGAGCTTTGCGGTCACCTCACGTCCACCTCCACCCAGGTCCCTCAGCTCACCTGACAAGGCCATGGTGCCCCCTTCCCGAACAATGGCTTCGCCCGGGCCCTTCTTCGTGGTGGCCTGGAGCTCGAAGCGGTACCGAAGGTCAGGGCTGAGGTTCGTCAGGTTGTGCATCCGGAGGTCCGGGTTCGAGAGTTCGAACGACAGCTGTTCCTCACCACCCTTGTCCACTGTAGGGACAGGCAGGCATCACGTGGCTGTGCGCCCAACCTGCCCCGCCGCACCCTCAGCCAGAGCGCCCCCTTACCTGGGCGGTAGGAGAGCACATAGCCAGTGAGCACACCATTGTGGCTTAGCGGAGGCTGCCAGCGCAGAAGCAGGCTGGTGTCCGACTGGCATTCCAGGTGCAGCGCCTCAGGGTGGCCGGGCACTGCGGAAAGAGGGGAGTGGGCAGGGCCTCACAGTGGCTCCGGGGCAGGGGGAGGGCAGGGACACGGGCCTCACCTCCCTCTGGGGTGACAAAGGTGGTCTCACTGGCAGGCCCCGCTCCCCGCCCATTGAAGGCCTGCACCTCCAGGCGGTAGGAGCTATAGGGTCGCAGGTCGCTGAGAATGACACTGGTGATGTTGGCAGGTACCACTATGTGGCTTCTGTGCACATGTCTCTTGCTGTGCCTTCTCTGGCTGCCCTCCCACCAGTACGTCACCTGGGCCAAGCAAGAGAAGACTTGTAGAGGAGAGGCAGGCAGGGGCCATGGTCCTGAAGAATACTCGCTCCCACACTCCCCCAACTCAGACCCTATCCCAGTCCCTGTCAGTCCACACCCAGTCTCCCCTTTCTTAGTCAATGTGGCCTGGGCCCTTACATTGTATCCCCGGAGGTGGCCCTTGACCTGGGCTGGGTCCACTGGCTGCCACTTGACCAGCACAGCACTGAAGTTGAGGACCTTGACGTCATCTAACTGGGGACTGGCCTGGGGAACTGGGAAGAGCAAGACTTGGGGGGGGGGGGAACCCTGAGCCTTGAGCCCCGACCCCAGGCCAGCTCAGGGCTTCCCACGCTTGAGAAGGTCTACTGACTACTGTCTAGTAGTAGAAAGTCTAGGTCTACTGCCAGGAGGAAAAGCAACAAAATCACAACTCATGTAAGAGTGGCGTCTGGAAAGTTCCAGATTCAAGGAAACTAACGCCTCATCACTAAGCCAAGCCATGAGCCCAGGCCGGCCGGGAAGCGGAGGAAATGGATGAAGCAGATGTGGAAGGAAAAGTGCTGGGAGGCACAGGGCTGGGAGAGGACAGCCTGTCCCAATGAGAGGGCGTGGCTGCACAAGGCTTTCGGCTGCCACGGCCGGCCGGCAGCCAGGGTTGGCAGGGCCTATACTCACAGTCCTCCCCGGAGTAGCCAACGGCGACGTGCGGTTCGGGGCCCTTGCCCTGGCTGTTGACAGCCTGGACTTTAATCTCATAGGGCACGAAGGTGGATGTGTTGGTCACCACTAGAAACGGCTCGCTCACAATCTGCTCCTGCCAGGCTGCCCCCCGGGCCCCCTGAGGGCGCCACTGTACTCGGTACTGAACCTGTGGGGCGTTCCAGTCTATCCACTTGAGTGGCTGTGGGAAGAGCAGACATGGAGGTGGTGGAAGCACGGAGACCCCAAGTACACAGCACCCCGCTCAATGCCCGGGGCCCTCACCTTCCACGTAATGACCATGTTGTTGGTCTCGTTCCCTTCCCCCCTCACATCCGCTGGGTTCTTCTCCGGAGCTGCAATGCAATTTGTTGACATGGTACACCCAGGGCACCATTCGCTGAGACCCGAGGCCAAGGGGCCCAGCTCCCACCCTCCCCGTCCCTCTGGAGGTCTGAGCCTGCCATCTGCCCTGCTGGGTACTCACCTGCCTGAGGTGTGACCACGGTCTCAGAGGCTGGGCTGGGCTCCCCGGGGCCATACTTATTGATGGCAGTGACCCTAAAGGTGTAGTGGACATAGGGTGACAGCTTGAGGGTAGCAGAGGTCTGGTTGCCTGGCACCTTGCCCAGACTGAACCATTTCTCTGGCTCCATTTCCTTGTCTTCAAATTCAATGTCATACTCTGCCAAGAAACAAAGCCATGACAGCAGAGTCTGTGGGGTGAACAGGGAGAGGGGCACGCAAGGGGGTCTTCCCAGGAAGAGTGAAGGCGGAGGGGCTTACTCTCAATGGGGGCATTGTGGTCCTCGGCGGGGCTCCAGGACAGGTGCACCTGGCTCTGTTTCAACAGGTGGTGGTCGGCCAGCTCCAGCTGGGACACAGGCCCAGGGCTCCCTGAAGACCACCAATGGTGAGTCTCTGCCCTGTGGGGAGTCTCCAGGGCCTGGAGACCTGCCTCCCCAACCTGAGCCTGCAGGCCTGTGTCCTGTTAGACCCCGGGACTCACCCACCACCAGAAGCTGGGCCTGGCTCTCCACTCTGTCCAGCTTGGTGCTGGCCACACAGCTGTAGTTGCCCTGGTCACTGTAGTCCAGGCTGTAGATGACCAGGTGGCCATCCTCAATGAAGTACCTGGTAGGCAGGGAGGCAGGTTCGCTTCCGTCCGCCAGAGACCTTGCCTCTCTCCACTTCCCGCCCCTCCCCCCAACCACGAGGTCCTCACTTGTCGTCGTCTCCAAGCTCCTGGAGGTCATGGCCATCCCTGCGCCAGGTGATACTGTGTTGCAAGGAGCGATCAAAGGAGGCTTGGCATGTGAACGTTACCCTGGAGCCCTTCTTCTCAATTGTACTTCGGGGCCCCTGTGTGATCTGAGTAGCATCTGAGGGTAACAAAGGGGAGAGTCACTCTCATGTCCCCCAAAGGCCCTGGCGCCCTGCCACAGGACATATCTGACCTTTGACCTGCAGGTTAGCCACAATGGTCACATTGTTTTGGTCATTGGTGGCCTGGCAGAAGTAGCGTGCGGTGTCATTGGCCTGGAGGTCCCGGATACCCAGAGTTCCATTGGCGTAGGGGAAGAAGCGTTCATCTTGCAGAACGGTCGCCCCTTCCTCATCCAGCCTATCAGAAGTGGTGGGACGGCTCAGAACCCCCACTGTGGCACCCAAAGGCCTCCCTGCCCTCTCAGGTGCCAGGCCCTCACCACTGGATGCTGGGCACAGGGGCTCCAAACGCCTTGCACAGAAGGTAAGCTGTGCTGCCCTCGACAGCCAGGTATGTCTGGTTGTCTGGAGTCAGGATCTGGGTGGGTAGCTCTGCAGAGGAAGTCAGGGATGGGCACAGCTTAGCCGCGTGACCAGGGTCCCTGGCCCTAGGACTGAAGGCCACTCTCCAGAGGGGGGCGGGGAGTTCTTCTCCGGCCCTGAGGCCCCAAGGCATCATGCTGGGCCTCTCAGACCCTTGGAGTCAACCCTCGACTGGTTGCCCCTTCCAGAAAACCTTCCTCGGACAGCATGTGTACTCGGCACCCAGGCCGGAAGCTCCTTTCAGAGTTTCCTCATCTGGAAAATGGTACCAAGAGCCCAGATGTGGGGAGGGCAGGGGGAGTGGCGCCGGTGGCACTCACGAACAACATAGATGTAGGCGTTGGCCAGCAGGTGCCCGTGCCGGTTGCGGGCCTCACACTGGGTCACCATTGTGTCACTGGGCTGCACGTTGTTCAGGACTAAGGAGTCTCCCAGCTGAGTCCAGGACTTCTGCTCGCCTTTCAGTTCTGTGGGCACAGTGGGGTTGGAGCACAGATGTGGCTGAGCCCTGAGCAACCCCAGGCCCCTCCCTGTCCTCCCATCCTCTTCTCCCTCCTCTCTTCCTCCAGCCCGCAGCTGTGGCCCAAGTGCCCCTGCCCACACCCTTCTCACCCTCCACATGGATGCCGTTGATCCTCCAGCTCACTTCCGGCTGCGGTCGACCCTGGACCTGGCAGTGTAGACGTACCGTCTCTCCTGGCCCATACAAATGGCTCTGGGGCTGGTGCAGCCAGTACGGGGCAGCTGAAAGAGGAGGAGTGTGGCCTGAGCCCACAGCCTGCGTGCAGCCCTTACCAGAGGTGGGAGCTCTGGCCGAGAGGTGGCTGAGAGGTGGCCAAGAGGCGGCAGCCCAGGAGACGGCAGGGAGCCCATACCCTCCACAGTGACGTAGTACGTGTGCCGAGCAGTGCCCAGCGCATTCTCGGCCAGGCAGTGGTACTCGCCATCGTCCTCCTCACCCACATTCACCAGGTGTAGTGTCTTGTTGTGATTTTGGTAGGTCACACGGTCGGATGGCATGGGACCACTGAGGCGCAGCCATTTGATGGTGGGTGTCGGGCTGCCCAGAAAGGAGAAGAGAAGCGAGCGAGCACAGGCTGCTCACCCAGCCCTGTGGCAGAGGCCACCGCCACCCTCCCAGGATCCTGGACTCACAAGCCCTCAGCGATGCACTCCAAGACCAGGGGCTGTCCCTGCAAGGCCACCAGTTGGCTGCTGGAGTTGGTGGGGAAGAGCAGGCGTGGCTTCCTGTCAATCATGCTGTTGGCTGGGAGGAGAAAGGAGCGGCTTGACCTGCTCCCCACCCTGAAGCACAAGCTCAGCCCTCGCCAGCCCCTGGGACCTGGGTTCCCTCCCCACAAAAAGAGAAGCCCCCCCCCCCCACTCTGCTCTCACTGCCTGCCAGGGCCTGCCCCAGGGAGACCACAACTTCTCCCTCAGGGGGCCAGGAGTGCAGGTGGAGCTTCAGGACTCACTGGCCTTGACCCGGAGGTCAATGGGCTCCTTCTGAATGATGGTGCGGGCCCCGAGGAAGTGAGCATGGCAGATGTAGTCCGAGTGGTTGTCTGTGGTGACCACATTGGCAAAGTAGAGGTTCCCATTCTGGCCCATTGTCACCCGCTCGTCCTGCTTGATGTGAAGGATCTCTGTGGGGGTACAGAGAGCAGGCAAGTCAGGACCCTTGCAGGGACCCTCACCCCGCCCAGCACCCAGGGGCGGCACCTACTGCTGTTCATCCAGTAGATGCGGGGGGGCTCAGCGCTGGGCGGTGGGTGGCAAGGAAGCACCACTGGCTCCCCTTCTTCCACCTCCACCGGCTTCACTGTCTCCTTTGGCCACTTGGGGGCCCCTAGAATGAACAGAGAGGCTGGCACTGTGGGCTGTTGGGGGTGGTGTGTAAGACTGCTGTGAGGAGTTCCACAAGAGAGGTGCAGAGACTCTGGTTTCTTTGGGGACTCCAGGCCGAGAAGCACTTTGGAGGCTGAAGAGCAGCACTCAGCAGCCCTTCTCCCCAGGCAGGTGGATGATGGGTCCCTCTTTCAGGCTGAGGGCAGAGCAGGAGTGAGTGGAGGGGGCTGAGGTACAGCAGTGGGGGAGGGGAGCCTGGACAGATGCAGGAGTCATAGACCCTTCCATCATACTGACACAGAAACCATGGCAACAGTTCCCAAGGTAACGGGGCAAGGTGGGGGGAGCTCGAGGCAGCAGGAGGCCCAGCAAGGAAAGCCCCCAGGAAAGGGTGACGTGGATCAATACAGAGATGGAAAGTAGGAGGGGGAGCCACGGTGGAGGTGGAGGTGGAGGTGGAGGTGGAGGTGGAGGAAGTCGGGGAGTTGGGGGTTGGTTCCAGAGAGAAGATAGAAGGAGAGTGAGGAGGTGGAAGGGAGACAAGAATGCAGGGCTAGGCGGGCAGTAGGCTGGACCATGAGGGTGCAGTCCTGGCCAGGGTCCCCCACAGAGGAGGATAGAAGGAGGAGACAAGGCCGGAGAGCAGTCAGTCAGACAGAGGGAGCAGTGGTGGGGGGCGGGAGGGCGGGTGAGTGGTGAGAAAGCAGTGAGGAAGGGGTCTGGGTTGAAGTCAGTCACTGGCAAGGTAGCAGGTTTCCAGCTCAGGCTCCTATGAAGGCCTACAGGAGGAACTGGGACCCCCACCCCCTGGGCCCCATAGAGGTACACACCCTCAGCCACCAGCTGGATCTCATGGGACATGGCAGTGCCCAGCTTGTTGCTGGCAAAGCAGCGGTAGGTGCCCTGGAATCTCTGGGCGAAGTTGCTGCTATTGCCTGTGAGGGTGAAGGAGCCCGAGTGGGCCACCTGGTTCACAGTCACACCCCGCTCCTCCTCAGGTTTGAAGCGCACACCATCTCGTGTCCAGCGGAATCTGTGGGCAGAGAAGGGTTGGGAGGCCAGAGGCCCTGGAAGCCAGGCCAGGGGCTATGCTGGGCCCAAGGCTAGAGCAAAAGCAGCCAGGGCCCACGGCAGAGGTGGGTGTGAGAGTGGGCCGTCACTCACTGCACTTTGGGTTTGCCAGTGGCCTCGCATTTGAGGCTGATGTCATCAGTGGGGAAGACAACCAGGCGCCTGGGTGACTGCTCTGTAATGTTGGGTGGTTCCATCACTAGAGAAGGGTGAAAGAATGCCAGTGAGGAGAGTTGGGGCAGATATCATGGCCTCACCCATGCTACAGTGTGGGTGACAGGGGTTGGGCCCTCAACAGCCCCAGAACTGCAGTAGCAGGGGGAGAGAGGAAGGAAAAAGACCCAGGCTAGCACCCAGACACTGGGCTTGTAGAGCAAGGAATGGAGGAGACGCTCCCACACCACTGTAACTTACCATGGCGGCCCTCATCTGGGACATCCAGGCAGCAGGAAGAGAAGGAGAGAGTGCTGAAATGGCCCCAGCAGGCTGTGCGTGGGGTACATACTGGGCTGGAGGGGTGACAGGTCAGGCCCAGAGGCACAGCCCAGAGTGGAGACAACAGCAGGCAGGCAGAGGGAGAAAGGCTGGACTATCACTAGGAGTGCTCTAGGACAGCCCTGCATGCCGCCTGCCCTGCCCAGGGTGCCATGCCTGGTCCAGCCCACTTCCCTCCTAATGCAATTAGCACAGCTCAGTTTTCAACTATCAGGATGCATCCTTCAGAGGTCAGCTGCCCTGCCCCTCGCCCTTCCAAAGGCCCTGAACAGCAGCAGCAAAGTCTCTCCAGCCCAAAGGACGGGCAGCTGTCCGTGGGCCTCTCCCCATTCCCCAGTGCCTACGGCAGTGGTTAGAATGTGTTGCCCAACGCTGGTGGCTGAGAGAAGAGAGGTGACTTCCAGGGCCCAGGTGAGAGGGCCCCCTCAGAGGACACAGCTGGGGGACCTAGCTAGGGAGGGGCAGGAGTTGGTGCAGACAGAGTAAGGGTAAAGGACAGTGACAGGGACAGCAGGATGAGGGACATGCTCAACGGAGACAGCAAGAAAGGCTAAAATGGAAGGGGGCGCCTAGAGGGGCCCCAGCAGGGACGTGCCCTCTCACAGCACTGACATCAAACACCATGGTCTGTGGCCCTGCTGCTGTCTCTTCTAATTCATTCCTGGCCCCTCCCTGCACACAGCCCAGCCCGTGTGGTAGAAAAGCTGGCTGTCACCAGGGTAAGTTTCTGGAGCTTCTGGCCAGTTGCCACACCTGAGGCAGCCGATCAAGAAGGCGGAAGGCGCGGGAAGGCACGGGCATTCCGTGTGCACACTCTGGTCTGTCCAGTCACTGCATGCACATGCTGGTACACACGGTTGTACTGGCTGCGCCCTCCGTCCGTGTGGACGACCGTGTTGAAGCCCTTATTTGGTTGGGTTCAGTTTGTCCCTGCACCTCCTCCTCTGCCTTACGGTGTATCAGTAAGTGTAACTGCATGGGCCTTTATGTGCATGTCCGACCTGTGTCCTGGCAGCCACTCTTCATATCCTCTAAGGTCACCCCGCTGCAGCCCTGGGCCCTTTCCTGGTAAACTGTCTCCCCTTCTCCCAGAGGCACTCCTTAATGCTTAGATCTAGGGCTACAGGTGGCAAGGAGGGAGGGAAGGAGCAGGATGCGAGACACCAATGCCGTCTGACATGCTCCCCTGTGAAATGCCCCCTCCCAATCTCTCCAGCCACTTAGAGCATCAAGTTTCCCCCATTTCCTCCCCACCCTCAGGAGAGAGCACTGCAAACATACTCATGTATCAAGCCGCCAACAACCCGCCCAGTGTGAGCAGATCTTCACAGACCTGTCTGAACAGAACAACTGCACTGATTCCCAAATTTACCCTCAAAGGAAATCACAACCACAAATACCCACACTTAGCCAACCACCATCACATTCGGATACGTCAGCCACACACAGGAGGGAAGCCTACTTCCCGACCTATGAAACTCACAGGCTCGTCCAACGGGACCGTAACCTTCCAACCACAGACACGTACTCCAGCATCCCACTCCCCACCTCACAGCTACACATGACATTCAAGAATCCAGCACACTGGGCCTAGGGTTTTCAAGGGGCTTTCCTCTCAAGAGGCCAAGATGGGAAATAATCAGTTAAGGATTTCAGGGTCAGAAGAGGAAGCAACACTTGAGTCAAGGCCTTCCCACAAGCCCCACCCCTCCTGGTGCTGTGGACCTGGGAAGCAGAGAAACCAGGGTGATGGAGGTGGGTGAGGCCAAGCAGCAAGGGGGGGAAAGTAGAGCAGGCAGAGACTGTGGTCCCAAGACTGTGTTGGGGCGGCTGTCCATGGTGCTGGAACCAGGCTCTGCGCCCTGTCCACGGTGCTGAACCGGCCCAGCGCCTCTTTTTCTACCCCTCTTTCCGGAGGCACCTAACATCCTTGGTAACGCCTATCCACTCGATGCCCAAGGGCCCAGAACGGGGGCATGGTGGGATGGCAAAAGATCAAGATGGGTCTAGCGCTGCGGCGAGGGGAGCTTACTCACACTCCTCGGGGATCTGGATGAGTACGCAGGGGCTGCACAGGAACAGAGGCCACACGTAGCGCAGCACCACAGCCATCTTCCTGGCAGCTCCGGCGGCTCGGCAGGACACGGCCGACCGGGCTCAGCTCCGATTCCCGCCCAGGGATCAGGAAGCTGGTGGGGGGCTCGAGGAGGGAGTCGTGGTGGGGGCACTGGGAGAGGAGAGGAGGGAAGGGAAGAAGGCGGGAGGAGAGAAGGGCCAAATGAACTCTAGTGAGAAACATCCGGGCAAGTCCAGCCTCCTGGCCCCGCCCTCAGCTGGCCCACTCCCCCACCCACGCCCACTGCGCCTGCTTCTCCTCCCTTCCTGCTTTCTGTCTGTGCCTTCCTGCCAGCTGCCTCCCTAGCACCAACTTGTTGCCCCAATCAATTCCCTTGGGCATACCACAGGCTGCTTTATGCACATGACCCCATGTGTGTATAGATGTGCCCGGGAGCAGGTGTCCATGACTGTATGTGCACGCGTGGCCATGTTCATGTCTCTCCTCTGGGGGTTGGGTTCACATGTGTGCAGTCGCAAGTGTGTGTGTCAATACGTGGCTGGATGTGAGTGTGTGTGCACAGGCATGTGCTCTGTCTGCACCTGCATGTCTTCTAGAGCGCTCACACACACACACACACACACATACACACTCATCTTCTTGTGTGTCTGCAGAGGGTGAATTTAGCCTGAGTGTGTACACACATTCTTGTGTGTGGATCTGTGTGTGGATTTGTGGGAGGTGAGTATTTGTGCAGACAAATGTAGAAAAAGACTCTAATCAGTCCCGATGGGTTTCAAAGTCGACTGGTCCCTGACTATTGTTCTGGTCTAAAATACCAGCAGTGGAGCTTAGACAAAGGGGAGCTTAGAAGGCAGGAAAGGGGCCCAAGAGGCCTGCATTTTATAGGAAAAGGAAGACTGCCCTTGAGAAGTAGCGGGAGAGGGGAGAGCACCTCTTGCTATCCCCCAGCGCCCACCCCCACCCCCAAGCACACAAGCGCAACAGAGGTTAAAATGGCCTCTCCAGTGCAGATATACTAAGCCTGGGGTCAGGAACCTTGCCAGTGCTTCTGATATCTCTCAAGGGTTTGGCAGCGCCAGTTCCTAGATCTTTTTCTGGTTTTTTAGGGCTTAACATTGCTCATGTGTCCACATGACCAGGAGACGAAACATCCAAAGAGGGGCCAGTCTGGAAGGGGACTGGATGGTGGACAATAGGTTACGAGGTGTCAGATCTACCTCTCCAGAGATATCCCCCAATTCCAGGCCACGAGACTGGCTTGAGCAGCCCAGAGCAAGGACAACAGAGGGTCAGTGCAGCCCTCTCCTCCCAGAGCAAGCTGTGTGATAAGGATGGCCCAACTGGCTGACCTCAAGGCTCTTAGAAAGCAGTGGGAGACTCAGATCAGAGAGCAGGTGATCAAACAGTAGCCTTAGGTACTGTGCACTCGGGCTCAGGAGGGAGAAAGGAGAGAAACTGGGGCCAGGAGCCCGAGGACCCTGCTACAGCATACCCTGTTTATTGGAATGATTGATAGTCTCGAAAGAAACCACCAGCTCTTCCAGATAGAGGTACCCAGAAAGGCATTTGGCCTGTAGACCCAGAGGAGTGTACACCCACACCCACTCTGCCTGCATCCAGACTCCTCAAGGCCTCACAACAATCTCTTCTGGTCTCTCCGTATTTGCCACCCAGCTAGCCACCACCCCAGGCACACGAAGGCAGGCAGCTAGGAGGGGCTCTGAGCGCTCACCATCACAGGGCAATTACCAAGCAAGCGGCTAAGGTTGTCAGCCCAGCAGGCCCCCCGCCCCCATCGCCACACGGAGGTGAGGGAGAGGGAGGTGGGGCAGCAGCAAGCTGGTGTACAGAGAGAGCCAAGGCCACGTCTGTGAGGGGGGCAGACTGGGGAAGACGGAAGGTGACAGACAGAGAGAAAGAGGCAGCAGGAGAGAAGTAGAGCTGGAGAGGGTGGGGCAGGGACTTGAGACAAAGACTGCCACAGCCAAGATGGAGACTGTTAGCAAGCTGAGACTCAGGTAGGAGGAAAAGGAGAGAAAAGCCAGCTGGAGAAGTGCTGACGAGAAATGGCAGAAGGAGCTGGGACAGAGGGGGAAGTGTGTGCGCATGAGGCCAACAGGCGCCTCTGCCTTGGCCTTGTCCCTGGGGAGGGGGTGGCAAGGGGGGAAGAGGAGCCTGAGATGGGCTTTAGGCCAGAAAGGGGGCTTCTCAGGCTCTGAGGTCAGGCTAAAGGACAGCAGGCTAAACGACCAACCAGCGGGGCTGAGAGGAGACAAAGCCCCATGGCGACTTGTGGCACAGGGGGAGGGGAGGCTGTCAGACCACGGGGAGTCACAGGGAATTGGGATGCTGCAGGAACCCAGGGGGCCATGTGCCTAGAAGGCTGCTCTAGAGTCTTGAAGGGATATGTCTGCGAATGGCTGGGCACCAACTGAGCACCGCCATGGCACAGAGGAATGCAAGACAAAGACAGGGTGCAGGCCCTCCCACTCCAGCGGAGGCCCAGTGGAGGCCGGGGGAGAAGGGCGGGGCAGACGGGAGGGGGGGGGAGGTCGGGGAGAGGCAGGGCCAGGCCCCAGGGAGGGGCTTCGAAGGGAGCCCTGCCCTTGCCCCACCCTGGCACCCAGGTGCACCCCGGATTGCCCTGGGAGTTGGCAGAGCTGCCTTCCTCCCCTAACACACCCACACCCCAGCACCCCTACCAGGTCAAGGCTAAAGGGAAAGCGGGTCCTGCATGTGCACACAGCTCTCCGCTGACACAGGGCCTCCAAGGGAGCAGCATGCCTATGCTTGTGCCTTGTGAGGCCGCAGCTGAGGGGCGTCTGGGTGTGTATGTGTCACACACGTGGGAGTGCGGGCGACGGGCAGCTCCAGTGAGGCGTGAGAGGGTCAAAGTGTGGGTGCCAGGGCTGTGTGCACCCCAGGGGGCATAGAGATATCTTCATGTGGGCGGTCTCTTCAGCAGTGCTAGGGGGAGAGGGTGTGCCTAGCCGTGTCACCTCTACCCCATGTGCTGTGTCCCTTTAAGGCTCCTCCAGGCCCTCCCCAGGCTGTGGTTGGCGGGTTTCCATGGTGATGCAGCCCAGTTCCGCAAAGAGGTGGGGGAAGCCAGAGGAAAGCCCTTCTGTAGCCTAGTTGGAGATTTCAATAATACATAAAGGGGGCTGCTGGTGGGAGCCCCACAGCTACCAGCGCCCAGAAGTCTTAAAGGGCCCAGCTTGTAGAAGAGAGCACCCCGGTGCTCTCTAATGTGGGGGTGCTCCCTGAGCAGCAGCAGCTCACCAACCCTTAACCAGAAGGCTGGGGAGGGTGGAGGAAAGAGAGTAACCCTTTGTAGGGAGCAGAGGGGGAGGGAGAGTTGCCCCCATCACTGGCACAGCCTCCATTTTCCTCTCCACCCTTCACAGAACCCTTCCACCGATGGGGTCCCAGCCCAGCTGCCATATTTGATCAAATAATCCATCCACAGACACACTTACCTTGCACCAGCTACTCTTCTGAGCATTTTTTAAGCATTAACTCATTTAAGCCTCAAAATGCCCCACCCAAGCAAGTGTTACTACTATCACCCCATTTTACAGATGTGTGGAGAGAATGTGTCCCTTACCACCAATCCAGGGGTCGGCCAAGGCAGCCCACCAACAAAGGTCACCTGTTCTTGGGAACACTCACTGGGGGGGGGCAGGAGGTAGGATCTGGACAAAGATGCCCTCCTGCCCCCTCCTGGGGAAAGGTTTATTTGCTAAGCAGATGGCAGGCAAATGCAAAATCTCGGGAGGGAGGTCATGCGGAAGCAGGATGTGGCCACTGTCACGTCTCATGACCGAGCAGGGATTGACCCCAAATAAGTCATGCTCTCCCTCAGGCAAAGTCCCTGAGCGAGCAGAAGGCTCCCTGAATCCAGACTCCAGTGGGACTGGGTTTCTGATCCAGAATCTTGCTTGCACTGGCCTCTTTCTCTCCGCTCAGGGCTCAAGACCCCCTCAGAGGAGAAGGCAGCATTCAGCGAGGCCCTCTCCTCTGGCTGGCAGAGCTCAGGGAAGTGTTCCACTGTGCTGAGGGGGGAGGCTAAGGTCCAGGGACATGGGCTCCCCTGCAGCTAGTAGGGTAGAGCTTGACCTCCCAGACCCCCAGACGATCAGTTCACAGGACGTTCCCTTGGTTCTAGAAAGCTAGATTCCAAACTGGACCAGAAATCACTGGAGTCAAGAGACAGGACAGCAGGTTAACAGTGCTAAGCTGGGTGGTCCTGATACTACAGGACTTTTGGGGGCTCCCTTCTGTTCTGTGGACTGTCAGGAGACCAAGGGGCAGAGGCTGGAAGATAGAGACCTAGGAGGTGAGGAGGGAACCCCAGGGCTGTGATGGTTCAAGAAACGGGGGACGGTTCAGAGCCAGGCACTACCCACCACCACCACCACCCTGCTCCTCTTTGAGGCTTGCCACTCAGACTAGCTGGGCCTGAGCCCCTGGTCTAAGCAGAGAAGGGACTGGAAGCAGCTCAGACCCCCTGGCAGTTCTGGCCACCCTCAGGCTCCCCATTCTCAAAGGGTTAAAGGGGAGCACAGGAAGCCAAAGTGGACAATGCAGCCTGTGTCTTCCTGGGGGCCTTGGGATTCCTAAGAAATGAACGCAGACAGTGGGGGCAGGGGAGCTTGGGGGTCACTCTAGCTCTCCAAGCCCTGGTTGGCCAGAGCTCTGCCCAGCCCCCTATCTCCAGGCGGCTGGCCTGCCACTGTTCCGCCTCTGCCCCACCCCTTCCCAGCACAGGCCCTGCTGGGGCATCAGAGGGAACCCATTCGGGCAAGTGAAAGCACACCCACAGATAGGAGATGGGGTCCACACATGCAGACGGGAAAGGACTACCCCACCCCAACTTGCCCTGAGCCTCTCCTGAAGCCTCCACAGTGGGGCTGCCCCACCCTGGCCAAGTACTCTAGAAGGAGGAAGCTCCCTGGATTTCAACCTCCACCCCTGGAGCAGCTGCCTGAAGGATGGGCTCTGAGAGCCCAGGCGCGGGCATCTCCTTCCTTGACAAATAC